GCTGATCACACAGCCTCTATCACCGTCACATCCATCCCCCCATCCCCCCCCCCCCCCCCCCCCTCCATCCTGGCCAGCTGCCATTTCCGCGTTCCGGTCACTCCGTCCACCCGTGCCCCCCCCCCCCACCCCACCCACCCCCTCCCACCTCCCACCTCCCACGGCTACACCCGACTGCAGGACCAACGACAGTGCCTTCACCATGGATGCCATGCTTGCACTTGTGACGGTGTATGCGTGCCTGATTGCCATTGTCATGTACATTATGCTGTGCGGACAGACGTCGTCATTGCCGCCGCTCCGAGCAGCACACCAGTTCCTCACCTCGGGCCTGTGGCGGATTGTGGGCAAGGGAATGAGGATGGTGTGTGGTGACGGCGTTGATCGGAGTCTTCACTATCTCTTTGCTACCAATCATCGACTTCTCTCTCTCTTCTATTTGGCCCTCGTTTGGGGTGGTGTCGCCATCTTTGTCCTCTACACCCTCCCTTGGATCCCGAATCCCATCGCTCCTGCCTATCACCTCTACTTGATTCCGCTGGCAATTGTCCTCCCCAACTACTGCTTCTACAAGGCTGCTCATACTCCTCCGGGCATCGTCGACAAGGACAATGCGCAACCGCTGACTTCTCGCTATCCTTACGATGGCATCATCTTTGCCCAGAAGTACTGCTCCACCTGCAAGATCACCCGCCCGGCAAGGACAAAGCACTGCTCGCTCTGCGGTGTCTGTGTCCTCCGCTTTGATCACCACTGCGCGTGGATCAACAACTGTGTCGGAGAGCAGAACCACCGCTGGTTCCTTGCCTTCCTCGCCTCCACCTCGGTCCTCTGTGCCTACGGCGCTTACCTCTGCACCCTTGTCCTCCTCTACATCATCGAGATGGAGGAGCTCTTCTCGCGCTACGTCCGTGGACCGAGCGGCGAGGCCATCCCAGTCTCGTGGGGCGTTGTCTTCAAGTACATGCTCGTCTTCCACGCGCCCATCATCGGCGTCGGCGTCTTTATGGCCGTCATCTCGCTCACCCTCTACTGCTTCTTCCTCTACCACCTCTACCTGATCGCCCGCGGAACGACCACCGCCGAGACGTTCAAGTGGTCCGACGCCCGCTCTGACATCGGCTATTGGCGCTGGCGCCAGAGCGAGATCCGCGCCGACCCGGACCGCCTCGCCGCCGCAAAGGCCCACGCCGCCAACAACCCGGCCCGCGACCTCACCGATGTGCCCGAGAACGAGCTCACCGACGCAGACATCCTCGCCATGGACCTGCCCAAGTCGCTGGTCAACATCTACAACCGCGGCCTCGCCGCAAACTTTGCCGAGATCATGTGGCCCAAGTCAATGGTTGCCGCCGAGATCATCACCGAAGCCCAGTCCTCAGCGCGTCCGCGGCCCAAGGGTGTCAAGGGCAAGAAGAAGCGCCGCTGAACACCGGCTGTCGAGCCGCACAGCGGGGACGCTCTGCCAGCCTACGCTACCGGCTCCCGAGCCGCCGATTAAACGCCACCACGCGGTGCTCGACCAGATCCGGGCCGAGATCCAGGGCCACCCGCCGAAGAGCCTTTGCCTCCATCCACGCCACGAGATCGGCGCCAAACCGAGCATACACATGCTGCCGTCCACCCGCCCGATGCTTGTGGGCCAGAGTCTTGACACACGACGTCCTCATGATAAACTCCATCCGCTTGGCCAGCGGTCTCGCCACGCATCGGCTGGCCACCCTCCCTCCGCTCGCCGCCGCCGCCGCCGTCCGAGCACCGGCCAGAGCGCCATTGTATGAGCCCACAATGACATAGTCAGACGCATTGGTCCACCCGACCTTGGCCACTCCGTTCCCTCCCTCGTCGCAGAAACCATGCGCCACAAGAGCGGCAAGAACATCACCGCTCACGCCGCTCAGCTCGCGCCCGCTTCCGCTCGCCAGCACCGCTCGCACCGCCCGCAGCATGGATTGGCTCAATCGCAGTCGAGTGCCGCCTGCCACCGCTGCCGCTGCCGCCACCACCTTCTAACCCTTAGAGGTACGGTCGTTCGGACGCGTTGATGTGCGCATCTCGTGGTGAACAACGCGATGATGCTTGACTTCCAGATCACAAGCTTCATGGTAAGCGATCGCGGCCGCGGACCCTTTGTGCCGCGTGCGGCGTCCATCTCTGCATCGCCGACTGTGTTCTGTTGTGGCAGCCATGAACACATTGTACTACTCTTTTACAACAATTCGTGGACGTTGCGACGTCTGTGGAGCGTCGCGGAACGCGGCTTGCGCGATGGGCAGATTTGTCCATTGCGTACCGTAAAGGGTTAAGAAAACAGCGGATCAGCGACCTCGGTGTCGAACAGGCCTGGCCCGTCGTCAAAGGCTGAGGCAAGCATGTCGTCAGCGGCGGTGGGCGCGACAGGCTCGGCGGCTGCTCCGCCCGCACCGGCGTCAAACAGTCCGCCGCCAGCATCGGGGAAGAGCGAGTCGTCCATAAAGTCGCCGCCAGCAGCAGCAGCACTGCTGCCTCCGGCGCCGGCCGATGCACCACTTCCGGCGGCGCCGGCGCCGTCAAACATCCACGCGTCCGAGCCGGCTGCCTTCGCACCGCCGCCCTTGGCCGACGACGCTCCGTCGCCTGAGACGGCGGCAGCCGAGACGGTTGTGCCAAACAGGTCGTCGCCTTTTTTGGACGACTTGCGCCGCCGCCGCTTCTTTCTCTTCTTGGATCCAGCATCCGACACAGCCCCTGCGTCGGTGGGGGCTGGTTCGGGGGCAGGCGCCGGGGCCGCCGCCGGTGCCGGTGCCGGTGCCGACGCTGATGCCGATGCCGACGCTGGTGCTGGTGACGGTGCCGGTGCCGGTGCCGCCTCCGGTGTCGGTGCCGGTGCCGCAGGCTCTACCTTCTGCTTGCGGGCCGGCCGCGCACGGGCCGACGCCAATGCGGCGGCAACCGATGACTGCAGGTCGGCCGCCGGCGCTGCCGCGGGAGCTGCGGCAGGCGCTGCGGCAGGCGCTGCGGCAGGCGCCGCGGCCGGCGTCTCGGCTACGGCCGCGGCATTCGGGTTCTTCCGCCACGATGAAGCCTTCCACTTACCGGACGCCTGGGCGGCGTTGGCCTTGTCCCGCCACGAAGAGCCCTTGGTGAGCTTCGGCTTGGCCGACGGCTCCTCCTTGGGCACCAGGACCGGGTCGGGCGTCCACTTGGAGCCAGCAGGCGTCGACTTGACCACCGGCGCCTCGGCCTTCTTGTCGCCGATGGCGGCGGCGACCTTGGCCTCGCGGGCCTTGCGCTCCGCCTCCTCGCGCTCGGCCTGACGCGCCTTCTCCTCCTGCAGCCGCTGCTCCCACGGGCGGATCTTCTTGGGCGCCGGTGTGCCCGACGTCGCGCTCGCCGGCGAGCCTGGCGCAGCCTCCTCGGTCGCAGGTTCTGCGGTCGGCGTCCACTTTTTGAACGTTCGCTTCGGCGGCGGTGCAGCCTCGCGCTTGGCCCCGTCGTCGGCCCCGTGCATGGCCTCCCAGCGAGACCCGATCGAGACGCCGCCGCCGCGTGGCGGCTGGGCCGAAGCAGGCGCCGCAGCAGCAGGCACAGCAGCAGGCGCCGCGCCGGCTCCAGGCTCGACCCCATGCACATTGAGCGCATGCATCAGCTGCACAAACGTCACCCGCCCGGCCTCGTCCTCCTCCACCGCCTCGGCCACCGCCGCAATCTCGGCGTCGCTCAGGCCAAACTCGCATGCCGCCACAACGCCGGCCACGCGCTCGCCCGGAATCGCGCCCTCAAACTCGGTGTCGGCCTCGTCAAACTTGGCCTTGGCCGTCTTCTTCTGCTCAGTCGCCAGCGGCTCACGCGGCGGCTTGCTGGCGTCGGCCTCGCCCGACGGTGGTGACTCTCCGGAGCCGGCGCTCGAGCCCGAGCACGAGCCCGAGCCCGACGATGAGGACGACGACGACTTGTTCTTCTTCTTGCCCTTCTTGACCTTCTTGCCCTTCTTGCCCTTCTTGGCCTTGCTCTTGGCCTTGCTCTTGGCCTTCTTGCCCTTGCCCTTGCTCTTCTTGGCCTGACGCGCGGCAGTGGCGGCGGCAGCCTTGGACGCGCGGGCCGGCGGCGGCGGCGGAAGGTCGTCGTCCGAGGCCATGAGACCGGTCTCCCCGCGGGCAAGCGCCCGCCGGCGGGCGGCAGACATACGCTCCTTCTTGCGCGCGAGGCGGCGGTTCGCTCGCTTGGTCTCCTCCGACTCGGACGACTCGGAACCGTCACGAAGGGCCTTGGAGCGGGCGGCCTCGGTCTCGAGGAGCACCGCCTCGAGCGAGCGCTTGGCCGCAGCCCGCTGCTCGGCACGGTACGTCAGGTCCTGCGCAAGGTCCGAGTCGCCCGACGACGCCGACGACTTGCTCGCGCCAGACTCGCCGTCATCTGACCCGTCTGAGTTGAGGAGCATCGAAAGCTTGGCGAGCCGCGACGCGGTCTTGGCGCGCGCCACCTCCGAGTCGCCCGACGATGACGAGCCGCTGCGGGAGCCCGAGCCCGAGCCCGAGCCCGAGCCCGAGCCCGAGCTGGCCTTGACGCGACTTCCGCCGCGGCGTGACTTGCTGGCGCGGGCCGAGCGGATGCCGGCACGGTTTCGCCGCGGGACAGGCTCTGAGGCGACCGTGAGGTGCGAGACTGGCGCGGCGCGGGAGCGCGGCGCGGAAGCACCATCGCCGAGTAGACCCATGGCCGCGGCAAACGAGGCGCCCTCCACAGGCTGGGTGCCAGGTGCCGGGGCGACGGGCGCCGGTGCACTCGCGGCCTTGCCGTGCTTGTTGGGCAGGAGCGACTCGCGGAGCGAGGCGAGCGAGCCGAGGTAGTCGGACGGCGACGAGAGGCCAAGGCCAGCACCCGGGCCGAGGGTGACGGTGGTGGCGGCCGTGGCGGCGGGTGCAGAGCCCGCGGGCGCGGCCTTGGGCGGCGCCGGCGCCGCGAGCGACGACTCAAGGGCCGAGGCGCGGAGCGGAATGAGCTCGTGGTGTGGGTTAGACGCGTCGGGGTCCTCGCGGGCCGCCTGCTGCTTGAGGGCGTTGATAGCCATGATGACCGCACGCTTGTGGCCGGGCTTGGGAATGTTGAGCGCCTCGATGTCGTCGGCGGTGAGGGTGGGGAGGACCGGGAGGGTGTCAAAGCCGACAGCGGCAAAGTTGGGGAAGTAGTTCTCGATGCCGTGGTGAGCGAGCCAGGCCGAGACATCGGCGTGGTGGGTCTCGGAGCTCTTGGCCTCGGGGTTCACCGCGTGGGCAGCGCCGTTCTTGGTCTCGGATGCGGCGCGCATCTCCCCCTTGTACTCGTCGACAAGCTTGACAACGCGGCGGAAGACTAGCTGCTCGAGCTGGGCCTCGAGCGTTGAGACCGAGTCCTCGATCTTTGCGTCCATCTCCTCGTGGACCGCAGCCGTCTGGGCGCCGAGGGTAGTGGAGAGCGAGACTGCAAGGCGGTCCTCCACTGACGACACCTCGAGGTCGTTAAACCAGGCCACAAAAGCGTCATGCTTCAGCCGCTGGCCAGCCGCCATCGACTCGGCGCGCTTGACCGACGTCTCCAGCTCAGCGTGATCGCGGTTGAGCTCATCTAGGTTGTCAGCGAGTCCCTCGAGCTTGCTGGTCGTTGTCCGGTGGAGGTCTTGAAACTGCGTGTCGAGCTGGCCAAGCAGCGACTCGTTGGCATCGGTCACGTCCTGTAGTCGTACAACACCATGGTCATGCGAGATCGACACGTTTGTTGGCGAGGTGGCGGCAGCGCAGCGGTAGCCGTTACCAGAGACGAGCCAAACAGCCGAGCCAAATCAGTCCGACCAACACAGTCCGGGCCATGTATACACGACCACAACACCCATGTCCATACAGGGATTCCGTGTCCAAAACACGTTCCACGGCGAGATCGACATGGTTGTTGGCGAGGTGGCGGCAGTGCAAAAAAAGTGCGCACAGGCGCGACAGCGGCACGAGACAGCGAGGGCGAGGGCGAGAGAGAGAAAGGGGGAAGGGGAAGAGGTGAGTGAGCGGATTGGGAGAGGGGAGGAGGGGATGGGTATGTAGAAGGTATGGTGAATGAGTACGTACAGAGACATTCTTCAGAACAGACTTGTTCCAGTCAACGACGGCCTTGAGCTTGTCCTCCAGGTCCCGCTTCATGGAGACAATGCCCGGCTTGAGGGTGTTCTGGACCCACTCTACCAGTTTGGTATTCTTGGCACGCTCTTCATCCACAACCTGACGAAGTCGAACAATCTCTTCCTGAAGTGCTTGTTCATACTCAGTTCCCTTGGTTTGCTTCGCCCGTCGACGTGAACGCCGTGTGCTGCCCTCGGACATCGCACAAGCCAAGAGAGTCGCGTGGTCCGTCGCCCAACCGGTCCCCGCGTGACTCGCCCGTCCACCGACCGACCGCCCCACCGCCCCCCCTACCCCCCCCTCCGCCCGCCCCCCCTCTCCACCCCCTTCTCCACCCCCTCCTCCCAACAACAGCAACTGCCAACACGTTTACCGCTACCACATCAATCGTCACGTCACTGCCTCGTTCTTGTTGCATCGTCGATCCGCAACTGCTAGTCTGATCGCACTGCTACGGATCGTTCCAGTACAGCCGATGAGCAGCCGATGAGCAGCCAAAGCACAGACACAAGCCCAAACACAAGCCCAAACACAAGCCCAAACACAAGCACAGTCCCGCTACCCAAAGCTCATCCATCGTCAGTCATTCCCGACCATAGCATCGGAAGACGCGCGGCGCACGAGCAAAGCAGCTGCGCCGATCAATCGTAATCACAATATGTTACCTGGGGGGGGGGGAGCCATCACTGGCTAGCACGCGGCTTCTCCGGCTCCATGTACGGGATCCACGACCGGATGGTGGCGTCCATGGCCACTGTTACGGCAGTGTCGATGGGATGGATGATGAGTGGGATGGAGAGGAGGCCGCAGACCGTCGGCGCCCACCGCCACAGGCCGCCTGTCCGACCCATCCGCTTTGTCGCCCACCCGACACTTGCCACAATGCGATTGATGACCAGGCCCGGAATGGCCACCGACGCTGCTCCCTGCCAAATCACCACGTCGGCCATCTGCGCCGTCGTCATCGCCGTCCGTTCCGTCTCGCTGCACTTGCCCTTCATCACCGCATGCTTGGCCGATCCCTTGGACACCGCCTCAGCAGCAATGTACAGCCCGGCTACACGCCCTTCACCATAAGTACCACCCCATTCGCCAAGTACCACCCCATTCGCCCTCACCCCGACCATCTCCTCCCCCATCAGCCCCAGATCGTACGTACCCACCCCATAAGTAGTATTGACCAGAGACCGGGCAATGATAGGCCTCAGCGACTCGCCGAGCTCATTGGCGTAGCCGAGGAACCGCACAGGCGTATCCCGAAACAAATCCTTCTCCTCGCACGCCATCCACCTGCCCTAACTCTCGTTCCAGCGACGTGTGTTTCTCTTTCCCCCCCCCCCATCTTCACCCCCCCCCTACCTCCCTTGACAGCCCACACCGTTGTCGCCGGTGCCGCGCTCTCGATCCCGGTCCCGATCCGGATCCTGATCCCCCTCATCCCCTCCCCCCCCTGGCCAACCCCCTCAGCCCCATCCGATCACCGCTTCCCATCCCCTATCCCCGTCACCCCCAACTCTGCTCCCCCCACCCACTCCCCCCGTTTCCCTCGACCTGATCCTGATCCTGATCCTGATCTTGATCCTAATCCCATCCCCCCCACCCGAACCCCTTCCCCTCGCATCCGCATCGCCAACCTCCCCCCACCCCCTCCCACCCCTCCCCTCCATCAACCCCATCTCCACTCAATACCACCCCATCC